TTATAAGTGACAGTTTTCCTGCTAAGTACCTGCATGTCATAAGCATTTGAATTAAAATTACCATATTGAAATCAAATCTGATGTTTTTTAATTTTTATTTGGTGTGCGTTGGAACAGGGGTAGTCTTATACGGTGAGTATAGCCCAAACTCTATATTTTAACTGGAAAAGTTGGGGGTCGTCTTATACGCCCAGTTGTCTTATACGCCGGAATATACGGTAGATTTCTTAAAACTTTTTATTTTACCTGCTTGCTTGTTTATAATTTCTGACTAGGTACATCTTTTGTGAATTCTCTTTGTAACTAGATGAATGTCTCCAAGATACAGTAGGTTCTTTTTAAGAGTGCCTACAAAGTGCTTCCAAATTCCAAAAGTTCTCATCAGCTCAAAGAGAGGCTCTTCCTCATTTAAGGCTTAATCCAAGATACACTGCATCCTATTGTCACATTATAGGAACAGCATTAAGAAGCTTGAATGCTTTTAGATATGAAAGTGATTTAAAATACAGGAATTGATTCTACTGTTAGAACCTTCATACAGACAATGCAAAAATATTGTTGGACATTATTCAGTCAATTCATATAAGCATTTTATTCTCAAGGATTTTTTCTCTTTATTGCATGATTTTGATAAACTGGTGTATTTTCCATATAGTAAGTTTGGCTGACGATATGGTGTGCATGTCAAACATATGTTCTGCTATTTAGCTGTTGTTATGTAGAATGTTCATTTAAGGCATGGTTGTCTTAAGTTATCACAAACATAGGTCAGTGGTCAGCCAGTAATGGGTCCAAACATTAAATATTGGAAAATACTTCATCTGGGACTCTAGAGCTGCTACAAGTCCGAACAGCCTTCATAAATAGGCCAAAGCTCTGAATCAGTATAAAACAGCTTCAAATGTCAATCGAGATAGAAAATGGCATTCTAATATGAAAAATGTCTTTTGTAACTTATTTTCAGTGATTTTACAGAGTTTATAGTTTACAGAATGATTACTGTGCTAGAACTTCTGTATTAGTTCTTTGCTTTATCTTTGCCTAGAATAGAAACAGCCCCCTTTTGCAACATGCACAAATATAAAATATGATACTGAAGTCTTGTAATTGCAAATGTATTTTTAAAGTGGATCTCCCACTTGTTCTTATAACTTGTTAAAGGAAACATCAGAAGAAATTATTTTCAACAGAATTGGTTGAGAAGTATATACAGGTAGTCCTTGTTTACAGACTGATTGTTCAGTAACCATTTGCAGTTATGGTGATGATTAAAAAAATAACTGTGTAACCCAGGGGTCTTCAAACTTGGCCCTTTTATGACTTGTGGACTTCAACTCTCAGAATTCCTCAGCCAGGCATGCTGGCTGAGGAATTCTGGGAGTTGAAGTCCACAAGTCATAAAAGGGCCAAGTTTGAAGACCCCTGGTATAACCTCTCTTCACATTTACTACAGTCTTAAACTACAATATAGAAGTAAATCTCACCAAGTTCCATTAAATAACCCTCCTAGTAGGCTGTTTTATTATTTGAGGTCTCATTAAGAATTATTAGCATTTTAACCAAGAAAATACATTTTTTCTTAAATTTCTGTAATATTTATTGATGTCAAACCCTTATGATACTAGCTCACAATCCAAAATAGTATGCTTGTATAGATTTATAAATACAAATAAAAAGAAGCAAATTACTACTAGTTAAGCTAAAAAATAGCAATTAAGCTAAACAAGTCACATTGACAATTGGGCAAGGATTCAATTGCTTAGATCCAGAGCATTAGGACAGTTATATATGACAACACAAATAAGTCAAATTCCTATTGCTGAATTATTACCATCTGCACAAGCTTCCATAGAAAAGTAATTATCTTTTTGTGATAGAAGTTTTTATTAGCCACTAAAATTCTGAATAGTGTACTTAATAACGAAGGAAAAAGCAATACAGGAATAGCAATTAATGCAAAATAAATGGCATGGCATATTACAAAACTTTTTTTCTATCTTTACAAAAAAGTATGTATTTGAGTAATTGAGTTGAGAAAAAGATTCAGATTTTTAATTATAAAGTACTATAAACGTGCTTCATATAAGAAATACAGTGTTTTCCTTTTGTAGCAGAGTACTGCTGTACCATTGGACTACATTATTTTCAGCAAATCTAACTGAAATAGCCTTCCACACCTTCTGAGTGGAAGTTGAGCTCATTTTGAATCAAAATTGCTTAATATAATCTAAGTGAAATCCATTAACTGGAAAAAATATCTTGGTTTCTGGCTGGTTAACTATTTTCAGTCCTTCACAAAGGCTCAGCCATAGACAGGGTTCCTGTTCAAGAACCAACAACACAAAAATAAACCTCTAGTGTACATGCAAGCAGTGCTTAAACTGTAACAACATTTTCTTGTATTCCCCAACATTTATTTATCTATTCTCTATGGTATGCAAATTATTTAAACTCTTATTGCAAACTCAACCCATTTTCACTTACTCTACACTCCTAATTATTTTCCTTTGTATCACATAGATTCTACTCAATCAAATCTCTGATATTGTTTTAAAAAGCACTGAGGTTTTGCTCACATATCATTTTTTGAGGAAGGTCTGACTTTTGCCTTTTATCTTTTCTCACTGTTATAAAAGTAACATGAATCTAAGCATCACATCCACTGGCAAAAGTCAAAAGCCTTCTGATACAAGGTTACCTTACCTACCCTAATACAATTAAGGCAAAACTAACATATCCTATTTCCTTTGAGAATAGAAAGTCAATTATAGACACAAAAATGTCACTAATTTATCTTCCTTTTTCTATCTTGCTTTACTCATTCAGTATTGCACATCTGAACTATCATTATAATGCACTGTTAATACTTTTTTCAGTGCATTTCTATTCATTACACATTAATAGCACCTACAAACTGCAAAGGCACTCAGCAATAAGTGTGCAGCATATTTATTTTTGCAAATTTTCACTCACTTTAACACTTGTGAATAGGACGATTCAAAACAGTGTTACCCACAATGTAATAAGAAATGGTTATAGTGAAGGTGATTTGTATATGCAGATTGCATTTCTCTCTACAAACTCTTAATTTGTTATACTAAACAAGAAAGATGTGGCTGGGTTCTTTTGCACACAGAAGTGTCTGTCTTGCGCACAGTGACGTAGATTATCATTGATCAATACAATGGCATTCAGTATTTTCAATTTGAACAGAAATGGTGTATCTGTAGCTAATACTTAAAGATCATCACTTTCTACCAAGCCAGATTGCAATGTCAGATGTCCTGGGTTTGCCTCTGGCTGAAATGCAGCTTTGATGTCTAGTCCTTGGTCAGAAAGTGCTGCATACCGACTGGCTGAGGGACGCACTTTCTTTGGCTTAGTGGTTTGGGACTGTTGTTGCCACTGAGCTGGAAGAAAGAGAAAAAGAGAAACAGTTTACCAATGCCTCAAAACACAAAAAATGGAGAAAATTGATGAGCCATTTTATCTCCTTTGAGGGGAAAAGGACCAATCATTCAATTTAATTAAAGAATTATCACAAAATTATCTAAAATAAAATTGCTGAAGATATATTAATATTGCAATTACCAACCAGGAAGTCAAATCACCAAATCCACTGGAGAGGTATGTTAATATAAGAAAGGTAGGGAGAAGTGCTGCCCTTTATAGTTGCTATCATAAATTGTTCTTTGGTCCTCTTTCACAGTGAGATCTGTTCCCTTTTTTGCTTCATATTCACTTGGTTATTTTCTGCTAATTTCTCTTTTCAATATTTTATTAATTTTTTATAGTCACAAATGCTTAATATTTTATCAGCAACATATTGTCTGGGCTTCAATATTTAGTTTACTAATACATGTTAAACTCCTTTCTCTCTATCTCATTTTTCCAGCCATTGATAAAATGTATCTCATGTTCTAAAATATTCTGAGTCTTCTTTCTCTTTCATTTTCAGTGTCAATCTGTCCATTTCTACACAGTCTAAAATTTTCTTAATTATCTCTTCCTCAGCTGGTAATTCTTCATCTTTCCAATGTTGAGCAAATACAATTCCCACTGCAGTTAACACATGTAACATTAAGTATACACATTTCTTCTCATAATTTCCTACAATTATACCTAACAAAAATAATTCTGGCTTAAAATCTATGTATTTTTTAGTCATTTTCTCTAACCATATATGTATGTATTCTTGACCAAATCTTTTGGCTTTAGGACATCCCTGGTTTTTGTCTACATTTCCAACAATTACTAGACATATTTTTAAATATTTTCGCTAACCTCACAGGTGTTAAGTGCCATCTGTAAAACATTTTATATAGGTTTTCTTTGTAAGCCGCCGCCTTTGTTATTTTAGAATTTCTTTCCCAAAGGCTTTGCCAGTTTTCTAACTCTGTTATGCCCAAAGGTTTTTGCCCATATTATCAGTTTTTTTAACTTGTTCCTCTTCCATCTTTAAACTTAACATATATTTATACAGTTTCTTAATCAATTTTTCATCTGATGTCAATAATATCTGATCAAATTCTGTCTGTTCTTTGTAAAATCCAGATGTTTTAATATCTTTTTCATATCTTGTTTGAATTTGCAGATGTGGCCACCATGATAAATCAATGCCCTGTTCTTCCAATTCTTGCCTGGTTTTTAGTTTCCCTACAGTATTCAAAATGTCTTTATAAGTCACAATTTTCTCAGTTACTTAAGTATGAGTGAACAAACGCTTCCATTGTTGAAAGTCATCCAGGTGTTTTCATATAAATTTTCGCTTTTACTTTTTCTCATTCTAGAAGCAGTGCGTTTCTTATATAGTGGTTCTGAAAGTAATCTATGTATTTTATTCTTCCCATACCATAAGAAGGCATGCCATCCGAGTTGTAGGTCATGCCCCTCTAGGTATAGTAATCTTTTATGTGTAAGAGTTATCCATTCTTTTAACCCAGTTAATACAGATGCTTGATAATATAAGGCCCAATCTGGCAGCCCAAATCCTCCATTTTCTTTCGCTTCTTGTAGCATTTTCAATCTAATTCTAGCTTTCTTTCCTTGCCAAATAAATTTCAAAGTCATTGTATTTAATTCATCACAAAATTTCCCCCCCCCCCGTTTTATACGTATTGTTTGAAATAAAAAAAAGTAGTTTTGGTAAAATATTCATCTTCACTGTTGCTATTCTCCTAGCATTGAAAGTTGTAGATTTTTCCATTTTTCCAAGTCTAATTTTGTTTTAGTAATTTTACGTAGTTATCTTCTTTTATTGTTGCACATCTTGCTGTTAAATATATTCCCAAGTATTTGACTTTCTTAACTATTTGAAGGTCTGTTTTTTCTGACAGTTGATTTTTTTGTTTATCTGTAAGGTTTTTAGTTATCACTTTGGTCTTTTCTCTATTTATATTCAGACCCGCCACTTCTCCAAATTCTTCTATCTTTTTCATAAGCTTGAGGCTTGTCTTAAGCGGTTCTTCTAATACAAAGACCAAGTCATCTGCAAATGCTTGTAGTTTATATTTTTCATCTTTTATCTCCAATCCTTTAATTTCTGAGTCTTGCCTAATATTTCTATTCAATACTTCCAGTGTTAATATAAATAATAATGGGGATAATGAATATCCTTGTCTTGTGCCTTTTTTGATATTAAAGTTTTCTGTAAAGTCTCCATTTACGATTACTTTAGCTGTTTGTCTATGATAAATTGTTTTAATTATATTTATAAAGTTTTCTCCAAAATCCATTTCATTTCATTGTTGAATTATAAATTGCCAATTTACATTATCAAAAGCCTTCTGTGCATCTAGGAATATTAGCGCCATCTGCTTCCTTGGATGCATTTCATAATATTCCAAAATATCTAAGATCGTTATTTTTTATTTGTCTCTTAGGTAAAAATCCATTTTGGTCTCTATGTATAAATTCAATCAAGAATTTCTTTAATCTTTCTGCTATTATTGAAGCAAAAATTTTATAGTCCACATTTAATAGAGATATTGGTCTATAATTCTTTATCTGCGTCAAATCTGAATCTTCTTTAGGTATTAATGTTGGCGTCTATCCACATTTTTGGTACTTTAGCCTCTAAGAGTACTTCATTACACAGTTCTTTCATTAGTGAGTTTAATGTATCTTGTAGACATTTATAAAATTCTGCAGGTAGCCCATCTGGACCCAGAGTCTTGTTATTTTTTTGCCTTTTTATCGCCTCTATTACCTCCATCATTGATATTTTTTCATTTAGCATATTTCGTATGTTTTCTGGAATTTTTGGTAACTCAGCTTTTTTATATATTGCTTTATTTTTTCTTGAGAAGTTTCTTGTGTGTCATAAAGTGTCTCATAAAAGTCTAATTATTTTTTTAATTATGTCATTTTGGAACTGTAAATCACCTTTTGAGTCTTGCAGTTTATTTATCATTTTCTTCTCTCTTTCTTTTTTCAATTTGTTTGCTAACCACCTACCCGGTTTGTTAGTGTGTTCAAAGAAATTTTATTTTGCCCTTTTAATTTACTGAGCCATTTTTTCAGCCTCAGCTAAGTTTAATTTATGTTTTATTATTTCCATTTGCTTTTTAAGTGTTTTCTTTTGTGGATCTCTTTATAGTTCTAATTCTAATTTCATAAATTCCTCCTTTAACTTCATTTGTTGTTGCTTTTTTTCTTTGTTCTTTTTTGCCATGTAAGTTATAGCTAGCCCTCTAAAGCAGGGCTTTTTACAGATTGTACCACTTTTAGAATATGGCAATATTCGAGTACCACCAGTAGCCTAGCAAGGTGTCAAAAACTTGATGACCAAAAAACCCCGGGAAAAAGTGATAAAGTACACGTAGTCCTTGACTTACAACAGTTTGCTTAGTGACTGTTCAAAGTTACAACGGCACTGAAAAAAGTGACTTATGACCATTTTTCACACTTATGACCATTGCAGCATCCCCAGGGTCATGTGATTTACATTCGGATGCTTGGCAACCGATTCATATTTATGATGGTCACGTTGTCCCAGGGTCATGTGATCCCCTTTTGCAACCTTCTGACAAGCAAAGTCAGTGGGGAAACCAGCTTCACTTAACGACCATGTTACTAATTTAACAAATGCAGTGATTCACTTAACAACTGTGGCAAGAAAAGTCATAAAATGGGGCAAAACTCATTTAACAGATTTCTCTCCCCTCTTTTATATCCTCTCTTCTCTCCCCCCTTTTATATCCTCTTCTCTGTCCCTGTCCCTGATGAATTGCAAGAGCGGTGTCAGGCAGCAGTGAGATTGGACATCGAGCTTGCTCATTACAAGAAACCGTCCCTTCCAGAAGCTGGGCCAAAACCAGAGCAGACCAGGCGACCACCTCCACGAAGACCCCCAGCCATCATGGCCGTGGAAACCCCCAAGCCACCTGCCGGTCCACCAATCAAATGCTTCAGGTGTGGACAACAAGGGCATCGAGCGGTGAATTGTCCAATCCCATACCCCCAACAGGGAGGTAGATCGGGGCCATCGATAAGGAAGAAACCAGCCCAACAGCCGGCAAAAGAAAAATCAAGCAGGATCACACAAGAACCCGTTACCCAGGTCACGTCACCCACATAGGAGAGCACCAAGGCCCAAGGCGGACCTACCACCGCTCTGCCCTCCTATGACAGCGACAACGAAGGGGAGAACGATCCGATGGTGAGTTGACCTGTTCCACCTTTTTCTCTTGCTGCTAAGCTCGTAGTCCCTAAGACAGGGGTACAAATGGATCTGAAAGTGCTAGTGGACTCAGGATGTTCCCGGTGTGTTATCAGTTTGCCAATTGCCCTCAAGATCGGTATACGAACAAGTTTGCTTTCCAGGCCCATGAGGTTTGAACAGGCAGATGGCTCCTTAATGGGAGGGACTTTAGTCACCCATCTGACAGAACCTATACGCTTAGAAATAGGTGAGCATTAGGAGTTCATCCGTTTTGTGGTGGCCCCAAAGATGGCTGAGGTTGTGATCTTAGGTCTAGCCTGGTTAGAAAGTGGAAGCCTTTTATCTGGTGGGAAAAGGGGATGAGGACTGTGAGATTGCCCATAGGCCCCAAGCCCTCCCTTGATTCTACCGACGTTACTGGAGGGCCTAAGCCATTTACTGAATCAGCAAAGATAGCTGCCATTCCCTGGCTGGGCGAAGCACTCATTCCCAGCGAGTACCGAGGTTTAGCGGAGATGTTTAGTGAAAAAGAGTGCGACATGCTGCTACCCCATCAGCCAAATGACTGCGCCATTGAACTATTACCAGGGGTTAAACTCCCAAGGCCGAGAATGTACGCTATGACCCCCCTCAAAATGGATGAACTACAGCAATATGTGAGCAAAAACCTAGCGAGAGGCTTCATAGAGCCGGCCAAATCCCTGGTGGGGGCTCTGGTGTTATTAAAGAGAAAAAACACGGGTTGCT